CTCCACCGCAGTCCCACACACATCCAGCCTAGGCTGCAGAAGGGTGGGTTCAATGATCTACTCTCCCCTAAATCTCTCTCATAAGTGGAGAAAAGGACCCAGCTACCTGTACATCTTGTGCCCCACAGTGGGACAGCTTTCTGCAGCCCCTGAATTTGGCCACCTTCAGGCAGGGAGGCTGGGCCACGGTTGAACCACACCAGAGCCTGAGCCCCAAGAGTTAGTTACATGGCATCAGGAGCCAGGGGTGCTAGGTTTACACAGCTTGATTCCCCAGAGGGGGTCACATCCCACAACCCATCTCGCCTGGTTGCTGCAGAGAATTTCCTGCCTCATAAGCCTGAGCTGAGTCTCACAAATTATCCTGGAAGGTAAAGTGAGCGAAGGAACAGAGGAACAGCAGTTGGAACCCCATCAGGGGCTGCAGTTCTGTTTTGGGTGGCAGAGGAAACCTGGGGCCACTTTTGTATGGTGGGAAGTCAATGTAGAGACTGAGCTCCTCCAGCCCCTAGCCCTGCTCTAACTCTAGCCCCCTCCCTCTAATCCTCCCCCCACCCCCAGCTCCTGGGGTTGTGTTGGTTAGGGATGGGGGGAGGGGCAACAGCTTATATGAAAAGCTGTTTTGTTCCCACCCACAGGGAGAAGAGAGCCCAGGCTCTGAGTCTGCACAGTAGGCTTCTGATTCCCTCCCGCACATTCAACTGTATGATTCTGCATCTCACAGGTGTTGAAGCTGAGACAAGAGGCCCAAGGTTCCCACATATAGGTGATTTATCCCTGTAACTGGAGTCTAGGCCAGTCTGAGGAAATACAGGGAAAGCTAAGAGCATGGGGTTGACTACTCAGATGGGAGTTTCAGTATGACCTCTTCCCTGAAGATGAAATTTACTTTGGACCTCACCTGGAAAGGCAGTAGGAAAGAAAGGGAGACAGGAAGGAGGGTCAAGAAAGACATCTGAGTAAAGGTGTTGCCAGTTTTCTTTGCTCCCATTGTCTTCCCTTTGTCACACACTGATGTAGACCAACTGACCTTGGGTAGTCACAGCCATCTAGTCCCCAGCCCGACGAGGGTCTCTAATCTACAACTGTTCTCTCTTGCTGGGCCAATCTGGCTGAAGGGTCTCCAACTGAACAAGGTTCCCTTTTCCAAAAGGCATCACCACTCCCGCTGTTCTGACCTTCCCGGCCCCAGTTCCGTCACCTTCCAGATGAGGGGGAAAGCAGCTCCTTCTCCTCTTCCTCCTCCTCCTTGAAGCCAGGGGCAGAGGGCAACAGTTCTTCAACTGGCAGCTTTAGCTGGGTCAGGACATAAAGCTTGCCACTGAAGAACTACTGCGGCTCAGCCAGTTGAGGATGTGGGAGGGACAGGCTCCTAAAAGGAAAGGGAAGAAAAATGGGAAGGATCTGAGCAGGGCCATGTCACAGGGACACTGTCCCACTGGCATCAAAGTCCAGCTCCAACAGATGCTCAACCTTGTAACAAAGGGTTCTTGGCTTTGACTTGGGCCTGCAGGAGCGGTTAACTTCAGTGAGAAGCAAGAGGCAGCTCTAAACATACCTCCTTGCACCTCTTTCCAGAACTGAAGGCTGTAGAGACCCAGGCCTGCTCTCACCCCACCCCCCCCCCCTTGCCCCAGCTCCCCAGGAGGGCCCCTCCTCTTCAGCATTCAGAGAGGGCAGGACTTAGAACCTTGGACACGTCCCACCAATCGCCCAGGTACTTGGTGAGAAGTTGTACCTTAGGTCCAAAAATGTGAGTTCAGTGATCAGCCCAACTGACTTGTTCCCAAAGAGTTCAGCTAGAAGAGTTTTGGGGGCCTACATCTGGGGAAGAGTAAGGAAGTGTTTGGAAGGTCAGCAGAGGCTCCAGGGACTGTGAGGAGAGGACAGGGGACCAAAGGCTGGAGGGGAGGGAGGTATGGGCAGGGTGGATGGGCAGCTTCCCCAAGACTCTCAAATGCCAGGCATTCCGCTTGCGCATTCCGGGTACATCTGGTATGAATTCCAGGCTGTCTGCCGGCCCCTCCATGTCTGAACTTTGTTCCAAGTTCCAAGCCCCGCCCCCACAGTTCCAACGCATGAATCAGCAGGAAAAGCCGGGCCCTGCAGCATGGCCCAGGGAGGGGGCTGGGGGCGTGGCAGGCTAGAGGGCTGTGAGCTGGGGAGGGCGGGTCTGTGCTGACACTCAGTCCAAGGGCATGGCCCATGCCAGTGTGAGCGGCCAAGGCGGTCTTGCTTTCAGACTTCTATACTCAGAGGATCAGAAAGACTAGGGTGGGGGTGGGAGGTTTTCAAATTACAAAACCCTCTTGGGAGACATGAACTTTGTGGTATCTTCCTTCCCCCAGGTGACCAGTCCAACTCCTTCCCACTCTCCTCTGTCTGAGCCAGCTCTGCTCAGCCCATAGGACTCAGCGGCTGCTCAGAGTCTGTGCCAAGCAGGTGCCCTTGGCTGCAGGGCGGGGTGGGCCCAGGGCACTGACCCTCTGACCAGCTGCTCCATCAACCCTTTGGCACCCTGACAATTCCTAGCCCAGTCTGACAGCCAGGATGACAGGCCAAATGAGTTGGAGGCTGTAACTAGGGCCGGAGGGAGGTGGGGGCGATAGCCTAGCGAGAGGCCATAGGGAGGGGCCAAGAGTTGGCCGAGAGGTGGGGAGAGAGGGAGCCCAGTGATGACTAACCCAGGCGCCCCACCCAGTCAGCCGGCTTCCCAGGCGGTCAGGGCCAGGCCTGGGCTAGGGGCCCCACAACCGGACATGCTGGGGGGAGGTGCAGAGGTGACCTTCTCTGGGCCCAAGACGGCCAGTTAGGCTGGGGAGGGGGGGTTAGAGTTTCCAGGTCCTCCTCCAGCCCGCTTCCCCCACCAACCGCGGTGAAACCCTAACCTTTGGGTTGCATAAGGCCCCCGCACCGCCGCCCCCTACTCCTCTCCCCTCCCCCCTTACATAACATCCCCTGGAGGGAACGAGAGGAGGGGCCGGCCCGCCCAGAGACCCCTTCCCTGCCAGGGCGCTCAATTGGCCCTGACCCACTGACTGCCAGTAAAGGAAAACTACCTCCTCACTACCCGCCGGGTCCAAACCCTCCGCAAGCTAGAAGGCCAGTTCTCATATCCTTTGACCAGGGGGCGCCCAGGTTAGCTGCCCCCAGCCCTCCAGCCCCTCGTCTCCCTTTTAGCCACACTGCAAAACCTTCCGCCACTACCGCTGTCCTGGCTCCTTCTTTAAACCTCCTGCCACACTACTCCAGTCAGTTCAGGCCCCTCTGCCCCAAAGCTCCCCTACCCCCGCCGCCCCCTCTCCCCTCCCCCGGAAGGGCAGGGTGTGGCCACCAGGACCCTACTTTCCCCCGTTACCCTGTTAGCACGGTTCCCTCCTGTGCGGCGGAGACCCCAGCTCACACCCACCTGGTGCTGGGTGGGGGGGCTGCTGAGGGTAGGGGAGCAAATCAGTGCGTCCGTCCCCCACGGCCGGCGGCGCTGTGTCTTCCCTGCGCCCAGCACACACCGGCTCCAGGCTCCGATCAGCTGGCGGCGTCGTGACGCACAAGCTGCGATTGCACCGCCCAGGGCCAATCACCGCCCACTGCTGGGCAGCGTGACCACACCCACTCTGGGGCGCCAGCACTTCGCCCAGGTCCCGCCTCTCCGGCCGTCTTAGCGCTGATTGGCAAGGAGGCCACCCCTTTGCCTGGGTGAGCTGCGCTAGGCCACGCCCACCAACTCACGAGCTCACCAATAGGTGAAAGGGTGTGGCTGAGCCATAAGCCTAAGACAGCTTGCTTTGAGGAGCGCTACGTCAAACCAGAGTCCTAAAGAGCAAAAGGAAGTAAAGGCGTGTGTGTTTGCGTTGCACACTGGTCAATGTAGTTCTCGGTCTGGCACCTCGTTCCCAGAATCCAGCGCGCTCTGTGAGTTGGCATTTTTAAACTCCTCTCCGAATCCATCCTGGCGAAGTTCTTAAAGGGCTACAGCCCCTCCTTTTTTGGGCCGTGCGTGCTTGTTTTAAACTACCCCAAAATGGATTCGCTGACCTCTGCGTATGAGGCGATAGTTCTTTAGGGAAAGGTGGAGCAGGCGAAGCAGGAGTGGGTAGAACTGAAGATGGAAATCAGCCTCCCGGGCAGCAGACTCTTCCATTGGATGACTCTTGAGGGCTTTGGGGGGAGGAAAAACTGTCCACCTCTCCTCGTCCCAGCTTTCACTGGAGAGATCTAGTCCTCCTCTCCTGGCGGGCTCTTACTAACCAGGAGATTTTTCTTGTAGAGTAGGTCTCGTCCCAGTCGCATAGAGGCAGAGCCTCTCAAGCAGCAGCTTCCTAACAAAAGATTCATAGTACAGTCCTCACTTGAGGGTAGAAGCAAGACTAGTGGTGGGAAACTAGGGGATGGGTCTTGCCAGAGTGTCAACTGGTAAGTAACCCCATCCTCCGCCTAATACCCCTATTCTGTCCCGCCCTCCAGAAGCCTTTTACTGACTCAGGCCTACTTAGGAAGAGATTTCAAAGGTAGAGACCAATGGGGAGGCTGCCCCTTTCTCCAGGGGCCAATCAGAGCCTAGGGGGGCGGGGGATGGGCAAAACGAAGAGGAACCCAATGACTTGGCAAAAGCTGCTAAACCGCTTTTTTAAAGGGCCGAGTCTGGGACGCGTCGCAATTTATCACCCCCACCCCCGCCCGTTCCATAAAAGAGAAACGTGTAGACAGGATCCGTGACTTTTCCATAGACTCCCAGTTGAGTATGAGGATACCGAAAAGGATCAGCCTGGGGTGAGAGACAGTTCCTCTGTATCAAATACAGGCTCCACCAAGTAATTGCTGTGGTTCCTAGGAACTCCAGAATTCCCAGCCTGTGTTCAGAACAATGTGCCTTTAAGGAAACTTCCTGCCTTCCACCCCAGTAACAGCTGATTGCTGGAAAGTGTGACCTCAGGGGACGAATCAGCTGTTACCACATCCTCCTCCTGGCCTGCCCTCCTCCATCCCCTTATCCCCACCCCACCCCCCACTCTACCTCCGCCCCAACCCTCCTGGGTCTTCAGGAAAGAGAGGAGATGGAACCCCAAATATGGGGGACCTGCTTGTATGTTCTTTCCTCTTTCACTCCAAGACTATCTCCCCCCCTCCACCCCCCCATCTGCTGTTTAGCTCTTCAGAGGTCTGAGCTTGGAACGAGCGGTATTTCCTGTCTGCACAGCCAGTTCACACTCAGCTCATACCCGCCTTCCCAGGTCTAGAAGGAGGCCAGTATTGGGGAGGCTCAGAATGGTGGCTGGCTGGGTGTGTGGGTGCTCCAGGAATGGTACTGGGAAAGGTCCAGCGAAGCTGCAAACCAAACCTAGAGGAGAGGAATAGCCATGGAAAGAACGCTTCCTGGGGCCAGAAACCTGCTCCCCAGGCCATTTGCCCCCTACTCCCTACTCAAGTTGCCTTATTCCTTCCCACACTGGGGCTAGCTAATGGGACTCTCTTGGCTTCACCCATTCACTCCACTTATAACTTAGATGCCACCTGGCCCTTGTTTTATTTACACTCTCACCCTCCACAGCAGGCGTGCTAATGTGGAGCCTCCCAGAGACTGCAAGTGGAATGCACTGATCCCAGAAACCAGAGGCTTTGGCTGGGCAGTCCTGCAGGAAGACCCAGGTAAATATTTTTACCCCAGCCCTGAGCAGGGAGTCAGGGTCATTCCAGGACAAGCTTAGTGTTAAGTCCCAGGACTGACTTGGCAAGGTTGGGAGAAACTGAGCAGGGCCTTGGCCAAGCTTGGAAGAAAGAGGAACCTCACCAGCTGCCCCCATTATCCATTATCCTTACAGTGGAAGTCTCATTCCCTTCTTATCCAAGACCCTCGGAGTAGGCCCATGTCCATTTTGTTCTGCTAACTCTCCATTCCCCCTCACCCCTCCCACCCCATTGGGCAAAAGCACAGGCTTTGAGTCCAGGGTTTCTCAACCTCAGCAGTATTGACATTTTGGGCTAGATAATTTCTTGTTGTGGGGGCTGTCGTTTGTAGCATATTTTAGCAGCATCCCTGGTCCACTAGATGGAATAAGCAACACCCCCACCCTGCAGTTATGACAACCACGAATGTCTCAGGACATTACCAGATGTCCCCTGGGGGCCAAAATCTCCCCCAGTTGAGAACTACCGAAATCAACAAACTTGGATTCAAATTCCAGCTCTTACCAGCTCTGAACTTGAAGATGCTCAACATCTCTGCACCTCAATTTCCTCATCCACAAAATAGAGTGAATAATAAATTCAGAGTTTATTGTAGGGATTAAAAAAGGATTATGTTGTTTTTATTAAAAAATTTTAAAATGTTTATTTTTGAGAGAGAGAGAGAGAGAGCGCGCACATGAGGGGGGAGGAGCAGAAAGAGAGGAGACAGAGGATCTGAAGCAGGCTCTGTGTTGACAGCAGAGAGCCCAGTGAGGGGCTCGAACTCATGAATGGTGAGATCACGACCTGAGCTGAAGTCAAATGCTTAAACCTGGGTGGTGCCCCGAAAAGGATTATGTTCAAAAACACCTAGCACAGTACCTGGCCCACTGGCCCACAGTTGGCACACTAAATGTTAGCTTCCTTCACTTTTCTCACTGCCAGATCAGCAAAAACTAACCTCACTCAGCATGGGCTGACTGCCGGGGCAGCTGCAACTTCCCTCCTTGACTATCCAAGCCATGACCTCCAGGAAACTCAATATTGAAGTTGGCGAAAGGGAGTGGCTAATTTGGTCCCAGATTCTCCAAAGCCCAAGGGTGCTTGGGTTGGGATTCCAGGGAAATTTGGGAATTGAGCTGTTACAGAGCATTATTATCAAGATGTGGCCTGCAGATTGCCTGCATCAGAATTAACTGGGGTGCTTGTTAAAAATGTGGGTCCCTGGGTCTCATTCCAGACTACTGAATCAGAAGTACATCATAAAGTTTGAAAACCACTGTTTTAGGCCTCAGGTTGGGGAAGGTGTCAGTGCCCCAGAAATCTTAGTGCCCAGCATTGTAAGGACATCCTATTCAAAGGAAGAAAAGAATTCTTAAGGTTAGTTACACTCAAGGTCATTGTTGTATTGCAAGCCAAAACCACTAGAGGGCAGGACATACACGAACTTACAGAAAGAAAAAGTAGTGCCTATTCAGACTAGGTAAACAAACCCGAGCAAAGACCAGGTGGACCCAATTTTATTGGTACTAAGAAGCAGGCACTACCCACTGACCATCAAAACCCGTTCTCTGGCCTCAGGTACTCAGACCAAAGTTCGGGATGCGAGATTGTCAAAGAACGCCTAATTTCTCAGGTGAAAAAATAAAACTTCATGACCAAGGAGCACAGTGAACATTGGTTTTAGAATGAGATACTTTGGGGGGCGCCTGGGGGGCGCAGTCGGTTAGGCGTCCGACTTCAGCCAGGTCACGATCTCGCGGTCGGTGAGTTCGAGCCCCGCGTCAGGCTCTGGGCTGATGGCTCAGAGCCTGGAGCCTGTTTCCGATTCTGTGTCTCCCTCTCTCTCTGCCCCTCCCCCGTTCATGCTCTGTCTCTCTCTGTCCCAAAAATAGATAGACGTTGAAAAAAAAAATTAAAAAAAAAATAAATAAAAAAAGAATGAGATACTTTGGGTTTGAAATTTGGCTCTACCAACTCTTAGCAGTGTGACCTTGGGCAAGTTGCCTAAGGTAGTCAGCTTCCTCATCCTAAATGGTTATAAAAATATCTCCTTAAACAAAACAAGATATGCAAAGTGTTAGCCGGGTGCCTGGCTCCTAATCAGTGCTCCATGAATGATGGTTGTAAGTTATAACTGCCCAAGGCCATGTGAACAAGCACATCCGGGGCTCCCACTGTGTCTTCAAGAGGATGCAGATGGAATCAGATCATAGCTGAACCATTTGTTTCCTCTCTAATTAGGACTGTAGTTTTTCTTTTTTTTTTTTAAATTAAAAAACTGTTTTTAAGTTTTATTTATTTACTTTTGAAAGAGAGAGAGAGCATGAGCAAGGGAGAGGCAGAGAGAGGGAGAGAGAGAATCCCAAGCAGACTCAGTGCAGCATAGAGCCCGATGTGGGGCTCGAACCCATGAACCATGAGATCATGACCCGAGCCGAAATGGAGATGGATGCTTAACCGCCTGAGCCACCCAGGCGCCCTGGGACAGTAGTTTTTCTTGAGTGCCTTTATGGATTCCTCCCTCTACACCAAACTCCTACTTGAGGCAAAATCTCCTAGGAGTGAGACTCAAAAAAACAGAGCCAGTGGTTTTGCTACAATGTCCTCAAATGGGTCAGAACCGAGACCCCCGGATAGTTTTGGCACCAGCTGTCTGGTTTCTGCTCCCTGTCCTGTGCTGCACCGTTCGCCTAGCCAAGGTAGCAACTGCAAGGCTCTGAGCACAGCAGGCAGGCTCTGGCACCTCAGAGGCAGATCTTCAACGGGAAGTCTTGGGGGAACCTTTCCTCCCAAGAACTACAGGCCTGTGGGCCTGGGCCACTTTTCTCCCTCTCAGATGGCTCAGAATTTGAAAGAGAGAAAGAAAGAACCCTGAGAGGGCTGGGGAGGGGGGAGGACTGTAGGACAGAAAGGCGTGCACCAGCTTCTAAGTTGCCATTCTGCCACTTGGGCGAGTCTCTTTGGCGGCTCTTGGTTATGACTTGTGAAATATAAAGAGTATTAACTGTCTTCTGTATTTTAGGGGTGCTGTAAAAGCCAAATGGAATGCTACTGATTAAATGTGTTGGAAAATTAAAAGCTCCTTCTCTTGGTAGGCAGCATGGAGGCGCTGAAGGGACTTAATGTCAAAAGCCCGGCTCTGCCATCGGTTTCTTATCTGTAAAACCAGAGGGGCGGTGGTATCAGCCAGCTAAAGGCTGGGATCTCCGGCAAAATCCTTCCTAAATCCACGTCCTGGTGCGTGCAGGAGGAAGCAGGGAGGGAAATCTCATGGGCTGTTCAGCATCCCCCTCTCCTGCACCCCGAGAAAGCGAAGCCGCAACTGCACTGGGAGGGAGGGCACCGGGGCCTGCCAGGCGGTGGCGCCGGCGGGAGGCGCGGTCCGACCGGCCCATTTGAGCCACGTGCGGTTGTTTCCGTGCCGGGGCGATCACGTGAGCCGAGTCAGCTGACCGGTCACGGCAGAGCCAGGCTCGGGCGCCCCGCAGCCCCTGCCCGGCTGTGCCCGGAGCGCAGGACCCTGCAGTGGGGTAAGAGCGTCCCCGCCCTCCCCTCCTCTGTCCCCGGCCCCCCCGCCCCCGCCTCTGCCTCAGCCCGGGTGCCTCGCCCGTCCCTACCCGCCCGGCCTGGCACCCCGGAAGCCGTCGCGGGAAGGGCCGTGGCCGGGCTCAGCCCCGCGCTGCCCCCAGGCGGCCAGGAGGGGATGGCCCCGGGGAGCAGGGGGCGGGAAGTCGCTCTTACCAACGGGGCCGAAGGCTGGTCCCCGCCCCCAAGCCCCGACATGGAGGAGCTGCTCCAGAGCGTGGAGAGGGACCTGAACATCGATGCCCGGCAGCTGGCTGCGGCCCCGGGGGGCACCCACGTGGTGGCCTTAGTGCCCGCGCGCTGGCTGGCCAGCCTCCGCGAGCGCCGGCTGCCCCTGGGACCCTGCCCCCGGGCAGAGGGCCTGAGCGAGGCGGAAGTGAGGACTCTTCTGCAACGCTCCGTGCAGAAGCTGCCCCCCGGCTGGACGCGCGTGGAGGTGCACGGGCTGCGGAAGCGGAGGCTGTCCTACCCCCTCCGTGGCGGCTTGCCTTTCGAGGAAGGGTCCGGCAGCCCTGAGACCCTCACTCGCTTCATGCAGGATGTGGCTGCCCAGAATTATCGCAACCTGTGGCGCCATGCTTATCGTACTTATGGGCAGCCGTATAGTCATAGCCCTGCCCCTTCAGCTGTCCCTGCCCTGGACTTAGTACGACAGGCTCTGCAGAGGGTCTATGGTTGTTCCTTCCTGTCAGTGGGTGAATTTACCCAGTGCCCATCATATACGAGAGATGGTCCCTGTCCCCCTCGGGGCAGCTTGGCCTGTCCCAGTCTTTTGCGAGCTGAGGCCCTGCTGGAGTCGCCAGAGATGCTGTACGTGGTGCACCCTTATGTGCAGTTTTCCCTGCACGATGTGGTCACCTTCAGCCCTGCCAAGCTGACCAACAGCCAAGCCAAGGTGCTCTTCATTCTCTTCCGTGTGCTGAGGGCTATGGATGCCTGTCACCGCCAGGGACTGGCCTGCGGGGCCCTAACTTTGCACCACATTGCTGTGGATGAGAAGCTTTGCAGCGAGCTCCGGCTGGACCTGAGTGCTTACGAGAGGCCCAGGGAGGAAGAGAATGAGGAGACCCCTGTATCAAGGGCTGGGCCAGGCACTGAACTTGGAGAGGAGGGAGGTGGGGGGGCTGGGTGTCCCACCTGCCGGGAGGAACTTAGAGGCCTTGTGTTGGATTGGGTCCATGGCCGCATCAGCAACTTTCACTACCTCATGCAGCTAAATAGGCTGGCAGGTCGGCGGCAGGGGGATCCCAACTACCACCCAGTGCTGCCCTGGGTGGTGGACTTCACCACACCCCACGGGCGCTTTCGAGACCTGCGCAAGTCCAAGTTCCGCCTCAACAAGGGGGATAAGCAGCTGGACTTCACATACGAGATGACGCGGCAGGCATTTGTAGCAGGTGGTGCGGGTGGCGGGGAGCCACCTCACGTTCCTCACCACATCTCGGACGTGCTTTCCGACATCACATATTATGTGTACAAGGCTCGGAGGACACCCCGGTCGGTGCTCTGTGGACATGTGCGGGCGCAGTGGGAGCCCCATGAGTATCCCGCCAGCATGGAACGTATGCAGAACTGGACACCCGACGAGTGCATTCCTGAGTTCTACACCGATCCCTCTATCTTCTGTTCCATCCACCCTGACATGCCTGACCTAGATGTGCCAGCCTGGTGTGGCTCCAGTCAGGAGTTCGTGTCTGCACACCGGGCACTGTTGGAGAGCCGAGAGGTGTCCCAGGACCTACACCACTGGATTGACCTCACATTTGGCTACAAACTCCAGGGCAAGGAGGCTGTGAAAGAGAAGAATGTGTGCCTGCACCTGGTGGATGCCCACACACACCTGACCAGCTATGGCGTGGTGCAGCTCTTCGATCAGCCACACCCCCAACGCCTGGCTGGGGCTCCTGCCCTGGCCCCTGAGCCTCCACTCATCCCCAGAGTGTTGTTCCAGACCATCCAGGAGAGCATAGGCCGGGAGGACTTACCAGGACAGCTTACAAACGGGGTGGGCAGGCTGGTTTTGGAGGCCACTCCCTGTGAGGCTGGCTGGGCCAGGGAGAGGCCCGTGGCAGGGGAAGATGACTTGGAACAGGCCA